TCTAGAAAAGACAGAATTAAACAATTTAACTAAACTTAATAAAGGATGAACATGTACAGTGTACACATACATGTACATGTACATGGCATTTGGAGCTACTTTAAAAATTTGTAAAAATTCAAATTTAATTGGAACCAGCTTAAACTTTCTAAACAACATAAGTTCGTGTACATGTATCAGGAAAAAAAGGAGATTCTCTCCTTTTCATTTTTGGTAAAATTTGGCCAAAATTCCTGTACTACAGTACAGAGACTTTGACGAGATTTTTTAAATAAATCATAAAAAATCTAAACTTGATCAAAATCAGCTCAAACTTTCTATGCAACAAGCTAAGCACCATGCCAAAATCCAGTGAAAAACAATCATACCAATTGTAACTTGTGATAGAAAATCTCTCTCTCTCTCTCTCTATTTGTCTCTTTGTAACACAATATGTTTAGGTTGGTCACTTAATTACATTCCAGACAACAAAATGGAAGGAAAACTGCTATAGAAATATTCACTAATGAAGAGATGCATGCAGTAATTTGATACACTACTACACAATGAATAATAATAATAATAAAAGTAATAATAACAACATTATAGGTAAGCAGCTGTGGTAATAGGCTACGACTTGACAACCAAATGTCATGTGATGGGTATCGTAATATCATTATTACGGATAACCTGCTAACACATAATCAATTGTACGATAACAATATAGCCATGATACATACCAGCTGGAGCAGAGACACCAGCAATAGCAACAGAAAATATTTTAATTGTTCCAATAATAAGAAGAAACGGATACCATTGGAATGAATAGATGGTGTCATTATTGCAATAATAAAAATAATGTAAAACGGATCCCTTTGTATATGAAATGACACATTGAAAGAATTCAAAAATAACATGCACATGTACAGCACATGTTCAAGTAGGGCGTCTATTTTAAGCAATGCATGTACTTCACTGCTACATTTTTGCACAATTAGCAGAGGAAGAGGTTCAAGTTAATGAAATTTGGCAGTGATTTTAAAATATTCAACACAGTGACCACACCGTGTTCTTGGCAGGGATACAAAATGCCAATACATTAAGTACATGTACATGTACATGTATATGTAAAAGCATCTTTAGTTTTGTTGATCTTAACTTATGATTAAAAAAGCATGTAAAGATAACTGAACCCTCAAGTGAATAATAACTTCATTTGCAATACATGTACATGTACATGTACATGTACATGTACATGTACATGTACACCTGGACTAACATACTAATACTATCATCATACATATATATAATAACAAACTATAATTATAAGTTGCATGTGATAATTATTGTACATGTAATTTAATTACTGGTCACATTAGATGCATTCTCAGTATTACAGCTACTAACAGATCTACTTTTGCTTGTACATGTATTTATACATCCATCCACCCACACATGATAATTAGCCCAATCCTTAGCATACTTGAGTAATATATCCAGAGGCAGTGATTCAATGAGAGGCTCATCAGTCTCACTCTCTCCTCCTCCTGGCAGTGAGGGTGACTGGAGGTGAGTGGATACCTGCTCGTGGTGAAGGAGAGAGTCAGTAGATCCATCATCACTTAATACACTATCATCATCATCTCTTCTGCTTTCTCCCTCTATCTCTCGCCTCCAGAAGAACAGGCGGGCTATAATGGCTCCCATCCCGTCTCCAGAGGCTACAAAAAGACCTTGCTGGACATGAAAAGAGCCCAAAAAAGGACTGGGAAAATTAGAGATTTTAGACAATATTGTATTTTAATTTTATTTCAGGAATTCGTTTTATTAGATTATTCGATTAATTAAAAGGTTTCGGGTACTCAAATACTACTAATGTCCGGAGTACTACTCGAGAGAATTTTTTACGGAAAAAAGAAAGATGATGATAGTGGACTAGTATCGACTGGTGATAAAAATATTATTAGAAAATAAAATTAAAAATACTTACTCCATTTCCTACCAAGCCTCCATTCTGGACAGGTTTTGTCCCGCCGGACCTCCTGGCCTTGTAAGTGAGCAACTGTGCCATTCTCTCTCTCTTCAGTGTAATGAAAGGCGAGGGGAGTAAGAGATTGAGGGGAGAGCAGCCAGTGAATGAAGGTAAACAGACACTAAAGTGTGCAAGTGGGCGTGTATCCATTTGGAATTTTCTTTCCTCCTTTCCATGTTTACGTTTGCATAATTGGAGTAAAAAAGGAATTTACGGCAGAGCTTTGTTGTCTCTTCCTGCATTGCAATGGCTTCCTAGCTCAAGATTGTTGCCTCGAGTATAAACAAAGACAAGACAGACTCATTTATTCCAGTTTCCAGGCCTGGTGTCACTTTAAGGGCCTCCGAGCAGGCTTAAGTCTTCATCTCCACAGCTAAAGGCAAACGTTTAAAAGCTCCTTTGAGCGGAATCAAAAGAAAAAGGCGTCGGGCTCTTGCTGCTGTCTTTAATTTGCCTCCAGAGCTGCAGAAAAGGACGCGCAGCATTCCTTCCAACCATGGAGCGAAAAGAAAGAGACGGGAGCTCTTCTTCGAGTAGAACTAAGTCGCACAGCAAGCACCGCGAGCTCCTCGAGCTCCGCCGAGAGATATCACCAGGCGGTGGGTCCAGCTACAATAATTTCGCCAAGGACAAGGAAAACTCGGAGCCAATGGAGCTAGGCAGCCCCCCGGCTGGCGCTCTCTCTCCACAGATGAATATAGAGGAAGAAAATGTTGTTGAGACTGATTTATTATCACCTAGTCAATCTGGAGCAGCCAGCACTACAGAGTCCAGTGCAGCTGCAAAGCAACCAGCTGCTCCACTGAACAGCTCAAGCTCTGCATCTGCAGATCTTAAGCAAAAGAATGGAGTAGGGATTGAAGCCGGACGAAGTGCTGTCGGCTCACCGCAGTCTCTGTCTCAGATCATGAATCTCCCAAGCTCTGCTTTCTCTTTTGATTTGAGCGAGTTCCAGTCCCCGAGTGGGTCTGGGTTCCTGAGCCCCGTTAGTTCAGCTAAACTAGGCAAGAAGAGACCTCTCTCAATATCCCCGCTCTCAAGTAGCTCTGTCAACATTGATGCACTTGTTAGAGGCTCTCCTACGTCACTCCTCAATTTTATTACTCAGTCTCGTTGCAGCTCAGCTGGTTCGTTTGGCCACCTGAGTCCGTCTCTTTACACCGGTACAACCAGTCGTCATGCCGGCTTTAACCGACCCTCAATCTCACTCTCAAAAGCAGTCCACCCATCATCTCTGTTACCTAATAGCACTCCTGCTACTACTATCAGTGGAGGAGGAGGAGATGGAGTAGGCTTCATAACATCTGGCCCTGATGATGTAGACGACTCGGAATGCAACAAGGTTCTCTCCCAGCAGGCTCCTGATAGAATGTCTACCATGAATTCTGAACTAGCTGACATTGCAGACACTGATGCTAGCATTCAGCCAATGCTAAGGGCCTCGCTGGAGCAAGAATCAGAAGGAGAGCTAAGCTTACCTGCCGAGCCAACACAAAGCTCAACCTACTCTGAGAGTGCTTCAGAGTCTGAACACAAGATGTATCGCAATGGAGGAGGAGGAGGAGGTGGTCGTAGGATCTACTATGCATACCCTGCAGTTGAGGAGCCTCACAACAACTGCTGCATGTGGGAAGGCTGTCAGCAACAATGCGAGACTTTGGATCATCTCGTGACGCACGTGAACAACGACCACATCTACCAAGAGAGCAGGAAAGATTTTATCTGTCGCTGGACGGGCTGCGTGAGAGAGAGGAGGCCTTTCAAAGCTCAGTACATGCTCCTGGTACACATGAGGAGGCATACTGGAGAAAAACCTCATAAATGCCACGTGAGTATACTAACAGAGCATACACAGTATCAATGTATTGAGAGAGAGGGAGAGATGCATGAGAAAAGTAATGGTAATGTAATGGGTTTTTTTAGTTGCAATTTTATGTATTTAAGTGTTACTCCTGTTTTTGATTTTGTTGTGCTAGTATGGTATTGTATACTGTAGTAGTTTTGTATACATTTCCTGTTTTTGGGTCAAAGCATCATCATTATGATCCATTCAATCGTCCATTCTTTTGGAGGGTGTACAGTTGTTACAAGGAAGAGGAAAGGGGAAAGGAGAGTGTCCTTGTTTAAACTTATGCCTAATAAGGAATTTTCATTGGGTCATTAGTACTTTTATGGAGGAGGAGAGGGAGGAGGGAGGAGAGAAGAATTTTGTAGGAGGATTTGAGGGTATTGACTTTCCCATAAACGAGGACCTCCTCCTTTGTGTCCAATCCACAAGGCAGCAGCCACACTTAATTAGTGGATTTTGAATATCGTTGCTCTGCAACATGATCTTGAGTCTAAAAATCGCGTAACCTGACACCATGGCCTGATAATGTGTCATTCAATACTGTATTGCATTTAATGCATGGATGGGCTCATTCAGAAGCATTTTGACAAGTAATAAGCTACGATTGTAGATTTTCTATTATAAAAATTGGATTTTAATTTTTATTGCCGAATAATTGAAGGCATGTGGTGTAAAATTACTGTTAATAATATTATGATACTTATTAATTTCTGATTATGTTGTTATTTCTGGTTGTGGTCTAACAATGAAGATAGCCAATGTACAATGTACATAGGTACATGTATCAGGAAAGAAATTAAGGGATGAGTAGCCCTCTGTAATTTTTTGCATTCCTTTTAAACTGGTATTATCAGTTTTGGAAATTCCAATGATGCCTACAGTGCCTCCTTCTCTAAACCACAAATCTATTTAATGAAATGAGAACATGTAGTGATACTATGGTTTTATCATTCTCTTCTACCGTTAAGTATGTAATAATGTAGCTACACTAGCACTTTATAGATATAATGTTGATAATAATATTGCCTATGGCCAAAGCCTTTACAGAATAGGTCCTTGATTAGTAATGGAGCTACAATATAATATTACCCTCCCACCACTTTCTTCTTAGCAGTAACCCTCTCCCCCTCTTAGCTATGATACACTGCTATTCAATGTCACTTCATGAGACAGCCTTGTAGGAGTTATCCATCAGTAGTCATTGTACTAGTATATTAGTAACAGATCGGATTAACATTGACAAATATTATATGTCACGCAAGCATTAAATCACAAAGTCTTCTGTCTTCTTATGTATATATATATACTGCCTTTAGCAGTAATTGAATATATTTTTATCCTTTAATATTCTTTTTTTGAGGCGTGTGAATGGAGTCTATGAAGCATTGAATACATTGAGTAGGTTTACCATAAGTTAGTGTGTGTGTGTGATCATTATATGTAAATGGGCATGCATAGGAGTTCTGAGTGAAAGCACTTAGCTGCCCACATTAGACTCTGCATGGTTGACCAGTCTCTGGTGCAAACACACTCACATCATTACAGTGTTTACCTCATTGTTACTATTGAGTGCCTTAAGGCTCTTTACACATGCACACTCCCCCAACCCTCTCCCTCTCTTATTGAGTTTTTGATGTACAGGGTGTAATGTGTATCCATCATGATCAGGATTATCATGTTACACCATACACTATCATTATTGTATACTCCTACTGAGCCTTACCTCAAGCTACAGGTGACTGATCTTCCTTGTTTTGTGCTTGTCTCCAATAAGAAACTTCATTTCATGCTTGCATTGTACCCGGGGCTGGCCCTCGCCCACATGCCCATGTACAAGTTATGCTAAGATACTGACGTTGTTTATGTATGTACTGGAATATGACTTCAGATTCATTCATGCAAGCTAATGTATGCATGTTGGGATACATCTGTGTGTATTTTACCATACCCACCCTTTCATCTATCTATATACTGAGAATGCGTGTATATACTCATACTCAAAAGACACTTGTCCATTATACACTCAAAGAGAGCATGTAATGGGTGAGGTTAATTATTGGAATATTTGATTATAGTCCATTGTGAGAATGCCCAATGACCCAATAGATACAGTTATTATAGTACTATAGGGGCTTCACCTTGATAAAAACTATAAAAAATGAAATAAATATAATAGTGAACTCTCTAAATAGAAATTGCAATATGCTGCAGCTCTGTGTTTAATAGTTTACTTTATGATAAAGTCCAGTGTATTGTATACACATGCATACATTCAAAGGGTCAGTAGGTCAGTGATCATTAGAATGATATCCCATTACTGCTTTGTAGTTATAAGAAAGGTTATTGTGGTCAGCCCAATGATACACTAGACACTGGTCTGTTTCATGGTTCTTGATCTCACTAGTATAATTATTATTAAGGAGTATAATTATTGAACATCCTGTCCTTGTATTTACTATTGACAGGTGGTTCTAGAATCTATATTGCTAATTTACTATGAGACTGTATTCATTGCTACACTGACAAACAAACTCAATCATATTCATGAGAAGAGAAGACCATAATTATTTATTTGTATCAATATTCATCCTACACTGTATTCCCATGCATCCAACCCTTTTCATCTTATTTGGTCATTGTGTTACACAATGTTATGCAAGGGAGTGCCTTCAAAAGCATTCATGAGCAAAAGCCTTTTATTATTTTTAAATTGAGCTCATTTTAGCATTCATTTAAACTCGCATGTGACACTAAAAATGTGCCAGCCCTGCATGATCTAGTGTGTAGAGACAGACTACAATTACAAAAATGTGTCAATAATAATAAACATTGAAGAGAGGCCAAGAGTGAGGACTATATCACCATAATGTAGAGTGCACTATTCAATGTAGAGTACACTATTCAATGTAGAGTGCACTATTCAATGCATTTAATGCATTAAAGCTTTTATATTAATGCAATATCTTCTCTTTCTATGCAGTATGAAGGATGTGACAAAGCATACTCGCGTCTTGAAAACCTCAAGACTCACCTCAGGTCCCACACAGGAGAGAAGCCATACCTGTGCAAGTATGAAAGCTGTGGGAAGGCATTCTCAAATGCCTCAGATTGTGCCAAACACATGAACAGGACTCATTCTGATGAGGTTAGCTAATAATAACATTATTATTATTGTATGATGAAGCAGTTTAGCCTTGTGAATCCAATTAAAATTAAAATTGTTAAATTTATCATGAATGAATAATGGTTTTTACTTTTTAGACAAGTATATCTTCCATGTACTTCAGTAATGCACAGCCTCTAAATGTATTGTTGCATCGTTGAACAAGGAATGAATACTAAATGGATTATCGTTATTATTATTCTTGTGTGATATTGATTTGCCATGGCATGCATGCATTGAAAGTACATAACAATTAAGACCACAGAAATTCAATAAGGAGTTTACATAGCCTGGTGATAAATCCTGAAATTCCAGTAAAGGGATTTTTCAGTGTGAGACTACATGCCTATAACTTTATTAGCAAGCCACAGTTATGCTAACTAGCTATAAGAGGCTAGAGCAACATACTTTGTGTAGGCAGAGCCAGATCTTAGATACAGTAAATAAAGTCAAAACTGTTCTACACATCAAAGAATGAATGCTTGAAACATAGATAGTAAAATGATTGACATTACTTTTTCAAACTAGCCAGCCTATAGTGAAGTGGAGTTTTAGCTAAGAATTGCAAGAATTGCATGTGTAGTAGGATTAGAGTAACTGATAGGGCATTGTTCAGCATAATGTGATGCTACTAGATATTAGATTATTGAAAGAGAGCACAAGTGTGTGAAAGCAGACACAAGTTCTCATATTACCAATGAAGTTCAATGCTTGCGTGTCAATGCTGCTACAAGGAAACAAATTATTTTGATATGAACATTTCCGTAGTATGATGGCAAATCTGTTGACGTAACTTACTACACTCGTGAGCTCAAGTCACTTTAAACTCATCCCTTAAATGGCTTTCAATGCCCTCCCCTTAAAAGGCTCACTGTTTATGATTTGACAGTGTCTGATCAATTGACTACCCATCTCCATAATAGTAGAGTAGCCTATAGTATCATTGGAATCTGTATCAAAGTGTTACTAATTATAGACGCTGTCTAATAATAGATTGATAGTGGGAGGAATCCTAGATCCATCCTTTCTTCATGTAAGATGCCTCCTGTTTAATGATGCGTGTCATTGTCCACTTTGTTGGCTTACTCACTTAGTCCCTTGCATGCTTGCATTCAGTCTAATACAATGCGTGCAAGACTCGCTGCATGTTATTATAAACTTCAAGTGCTTAAAATTTATCTTTTTTTGTTTCTATTTTTCTAGAAACCTTATGCTTGTCTCAACCCCGGCTGCATGAAGCGATACACTGATCCATCCTCACGTCGGAAGCATATGAAGAACTGCCAAGTTAACAAAAAGGTATGAGACTGGATGAATCTGAATATGTGAATGGTGTACTAGCTGCCTGACTGTGTGTATCAGAGCAATGTAATATCATGTCTACTGTATCTTCAACCCTTTCCACAAGCGTCGTATAAAGTATACTCCAAAATGCAGCTTGCTTTGTAGTATAAGTTACGAGCACTGGTATTTTAAAGAGATGAGGAATGGTCACACGATTAAACTTCAAAAACAAAGAATGGGAACAATCAATGAGCTACATGTGAAATACATTAGATCACACAACAGCAATGCATGCATGCATATGATACTACACAGACACACACCTGTCACCTACTTATAGAAAGGAGGGCCTTAAATATGCAGTGGGGGAGAATCAAGGGGTATATTTGCTGCAAACAGGCAGACGTTGACATTATTACGGAAGGTCATGCACCATGCGTGGGATAGGCCTCCTAACACAATTACCCTGTACATGCCTACGCTTTAATATCTTGAGTAATTTTCCATCCTGTGGTAAAGTTTTATAGTATAGTAGTATGATCATCATTAATGTGTGTAGAATGAGATTCACTAGCAACTGTATTATTAGTGTTGTTTTCTTTATAGGCTCGTACTGGCGTGACTGATTTCATATCTGAAGGCGATGACATGGACACTGCTCGCCCTCCCTCCCTCCCTCCTCCATCGTCTGATTTCACTTGCTTTGTCCCTTCAACCGTCAAGTCCCCAGCCCAGCAGACCGGAAAGAAAGGAAGCAGGAGCAAGAAGGGCGATAAAAAGCAACGCAGCACCAAAGGAGAAGACACTAGTAAGAATAATCACGGGCTGCTTGAGTTTCCAAACAGCAGCGTTGATATGGGGTACATGTCAGGTGGATCTCAGTGCACTCCAGCTATGGGACTAATGAGTTTACTGAAGAATGGACGTACACAGCTGAGTGGATACAGCTCATCGGGTTACTACGAGACAGAGTATACCAACCTACAGGAAGATACCCTCCCTCTTGTTCTCTCCTCCTCACTCTCTGACCATCAGTCGTTAGAAGGGCCGTACTACGAGGCTAGTATCAAAAGAGAACCTTTCAGTCCTTCATCTTCCTCTTGCTCTCAAATTGATCACTTCTCTCCGTACCAGCTCTCCCAAGCCCAGCCCCCTCCTCCGTACTTCAAGCATGGACTCCATCCACTGCCGGAGTTGCAGGCGTTTGGTTCGGGCGGGAGTTTTCAAGGATTCTCATCCCAGTCCTCAGGTGGGGGCGGAGTCGATGTTGGCTCAAGTGGATATTCTAGTTTTGGTGGTTCGCCAGTTAGGATGATGAACAGTGACGAAACCTGTTCTCTTGGTGGTAGCTATCGATCAGGAGGTGGTGGGAGTGAGCTGGGGTCCTCTTCTCATTCTAGCTTCTCAACTCTCTCCTCTCACCTCTCTTCCCCTATTAGTCATCACAATGGAGGAGGAGGGAGGGACTACTCCAAACACTCGTATCGTAATCTCCGCCCACCTGATCTGATCCTCCGACCTCACCAACCGACTTACTCCGTCCAAATGTCCGATATTAAAGTTTCCGGGGGCGGTTATCGTTGTCATAGCGACGAGGTGTCCCTAAGATCATCTCATAGCTCCCGCTACTCCGGCAGCGAGTATAGCGACGACTTGTCTCATCGTCACGGTAGCATAGGACCTCCCCCTCCTCTCCCTCCCCCAGAGGCTCGTTCCTCTTCTCGTGAGCCGCTCCCTCTCCCTCACTCAATGCAGGCCCAGGGACACGAGTACATGACCAGTCAACCAGACATGACGTCGATGAGGACTGACTCTCAGTTCACTGGAAAGAGCGGAGTCTATCAGCCGTACTCAGTTGGTTCTCTTCCTCTTAAACACTACGACCAGCCCCCGATCCATCAACAGGGGAAGCACGGTCTCCCAATAATATTTGAGTCTCAAGTCCACGCGGGGATCGCCAACAATTGCCCAAATATGGTCATCGGAAACATGGCGCTAAACGCCAACCAACTTCACCAAGATAATATCATGTTTGAGAATCTCTCCACCTCTAGTTCGTACATAGGGTTACCCCATTAACTTGTGACTCTGTAGCGTATTGTACCGTATTGTGATTAATTAAATCTCTAGAGCCAGCCATATGTACTGTATGTATGTGTATATATATGGTCGTGTATATTTGCAAGTATGTGTGTGCATGTTGTAACATCACTTACTCATGTACATTGTTTATTAATAGTGAATGTCTTATTATTATTATTATTACTGTTACATAAGTATATATATATATATATATATATTATCATTTTTAACACAATTGCTCCAGTGCTGTTTTTAAATCCTTTTCAATCTCCTTTGTATTTGTTATTATTTTTATTATTGTTTTTGTAATAGTTCCCCTCCCTATGCCTTTTCTTATTAAATAAAAAGTATCATTTTTGCTAAAATAACAATTAGAAATTCCTCCGTGTAGAGTACACAATCACTCGCGACTTACAATTGAATTAAGAGAAATCGACAAACAATTGGCTACATCAACTAGGACGCTACAATACTTGCACCTGTTATTGGAGACACAACAGTGTATGTTCGTGTACATGAACTTGTGCCACCATGTACAATTATCTATAGCTAAATGGTCAATTGCTCTTGTTTTGATTACTTTAAGGTGCTCTCTCTCTCTCCCTCCCTCCCTTTCTCTTTCTCCATCTCTTTTTCATTCTCTCTCTCTCTTTCTCCCTCCCTCCCCCTCTCTCTCTCCCTTTCTCCATCTCTTTCCCTTCCTCTCTCTCTTTCTCCCTCCCTTCCTCTCTCTCCTCCCTCCCTCCCTCTCTCTCTCTATACATTTGTCAGTGTTCCTAGTTATGTACATGTACATGTATATTACATGCATGCATGAACTGACAAGCAGAAGTTCACATGTAGACACTCGGTGTAGCATGTAATTAATAATTGCAATAAAGGCATTGATCTGCGTGCGATGCATGACCCTTTAATTTGATTACTGACTCGAATTACACGGAGAGAGGAAAGGAGAGAGAGGTACGTACATGTACATGCACATGTACATGTATATAATTACGGTATTTTACCTTGTGTGCATATACAGCATATGTGGACATATGTGGCATTATTGATTTCTAATTGATATTTAACTGAAAACATTTGTGGGCCACAGGCAGTGTCTAGAATGCCTCACAGTCACAGACAAAGATTATTGTTTAATTATAAAGGAATTGTGTGTGAGGCAACACTTGCAGGATGTTACCTAAGGTCACTAATATGAATTTTAACTTCAAGTTAGCTTATATTGTGCCTCTCTTTTCTTCCTTCCTCTCATTTTAACAGTCTTTATCTATCTGTACCACTAGTGTCTCATTATTCAGTTTTATTGTATGTTGTATTGATTCAAAATGTACTGATTCAATTCGCATGTGATAATACATGCATGCACAAAAATAAAACAATAATAATTATTAACAACAACAACAACAACATTATTATTATCATCATTATTATTATTATTATTACTATCATGTCACAAGACACAGTTCCATCCTACACATGACAACAGATATACATGATCATGTACATACATATACATACACATACAGGTACTATGCAAGACTGCAGTTCGTAAGAAACTAAAAGATATCAATCGTAATTATCAGTTAATATTTGTAACACAGTTTCTTTATTTCCTGGAGTAGTGCGATAGGAAGAATTGATATCTGCAGATAAAGAAGAACAAGAATGCAAGTACAATGTATACTAGCTCTAATGAACAGATGTCACCAAACAGCAACAAAGATATGTACATGTACATCTACATGTACATTATGAGTTGTACAATGTACAGAATACATTGTACTTACTATAATTATGTGCATAAACATAAAGACTATTAGTAACGCGGTAGCGTTACTAAGTAGGATTCACCCCACTTCAAAATGGCTTTATACATGTAGTACAATGCAGTGTTTGAGGTACACATGGTTTAATGAACCAGATCAGTTCCTAATTAACGTAATCTAAACTCACTCCAATGGGTTATTATACAAAAGATAGGAAAAGGGTACAAAAGCTATAGGTATGTATTGATTGTGATCATAAAAACTTATTGACACGTATCAATTAGTATATGTAGGTCACGTTAATTAGTCGGACACACACGAATCCAGTCAATTACAATAACATTGTTATCATCAATAATTAAGACGAATGAAAACAATGGTAGAGATAACAGGAAAGAAAAGGAGTATCTCAAAAACAAAATATTAAAATTCCAAACTTCATATAACATAAGAGCATGTACATGTACATACAAATGTACATGTATCAGAAAACCAAAGTCCCTGTACTATAGTACAGGGACTTTGGCCCAATTTTGGAGAAACTTTAAAAATTCATTAAAAATCTAATTTTGATTGGAATCTGCTCAAACTTTCTACACAACATAAGCACATGTATATGCATTTTTTAAAATATAAAAAAGAATTCTCTCATAGCAATTTTGACTACATCTTTAGTACATAAGTATCTGATTAAATTTTGAAGCAACTTTATAAAAATTTATCAAAATAAACAATTTAAAAAAATACAAAACTCACTTTTATAAAAAGAATAATTAATGCTCATCGTGCTATGATTGTGCGTGAACCTTCCAGCCGATTATCCTCGAGTCAAATCCACTGGAGAAGAGGTTGCAACGGCCGGGAGAAGATGAAGCCACTTGACTGTCACGTGACCAACAAACACAGTGAACCATCCTCACATGCTCCTATTGAAAGGAGGAGGAAGAGGGAGGAAAAGAGAGGGGAAGTGTGTAATAGATAAAAAGAAACAAAGAATGAAGAGGAGAGAGAGAAAGAGAGAGAGAGAGAGAGAGAGAAATAAAATATAAACAACTAGTACATGTTTAGTTTCGTGCACTGCAGTAGAGTAGGAAAACTAGGAATTAATTAATTATGCAATTAATTAAGTGATATTGAATTGTAGGTGAGAGTCCAATTAGAGTACAGTCTAGTAATTATATCAAATGGGCCATAAACTGACTAGGAGTGTTTTTGCAGTACAGCTCTAGGGCATAACGCTGCTTTCCCAAGCTAGAGCTACAAGGAAGGATGGGTGTCTATAAACATGAATATCAATTAGTTTAGACAGCCAGCAAATGGCCCGTTTATACTATAGTACTGGGTACAGAATGTCTGTGATTTGTATAATTATTAGATTATGATCCTTGTCAGTTGTTATTTTCTAAAACCAGAGACAGGTTTTTCTGTCTGGCTGCGTCAAGACGGCTGCCAACTAATGAACCAAAAAGGCTCAATACTAAAACACGTACAACTCCATCAATGGACATATGATACTGTAACAGGTTAAAGTGTACAGTAGAGCTTTTACAACAAGGACACCCTCAAATAAGGACACTTTTAAAATGTGGACAGTTGATGTGTGGATACCATTGGTATAAACCTATATTATACTGTAAGTGAAGCACTGAAATGAGTATATACATCTCTGTATTGAGGACAGGTTATAGCAGAATAACGAGATTACAAAATGTTCATGTTACATCGTAGATATACATGTATGTACATGTACATGTATATTATTATTATTACAATTCCTATTCCCTGACCTTTCTATTTCTATGAGGTAGAGTAGCTATCCTGTTCCCCCCCAGGTCATACAGCCTGATGTGACTATTATCCATTGGGACTGCTAGTGCCTGGTGGTCGTGAGAGACTGAGATCCTGTTGATGCCACAGTCAAGACGAATGGAAGCAACAGGATAACGCATGTTGTGTAGATCCCAAATCTAAGTACATTAAAATAAAGACAGAATATAATTATAAGCAAAAAAAGAATGGAGAAGAATGGTTTCTAAAGGGCTGGGAAGAAAGAGATATGCCTACTGTCCATGAGGAATTTGTAACTCAATTTAAATTTTAAAATTGAGTTATTTAAAAAATTGAGAAAAAGCCATGAGAATTGTACATTATATTAAAAATACATTTCTTTTAAAATGTCAAGTTTTACCACTAAACCAAGGAGAGTGTGTGTGTGTGTGTGTTGCTAACTTTAACAGTGTGATCATCTGAAGCACTAACAACATCATCACTGAGACTAAAAGCAGCTGATGTAACAGCTCTAGAAAAACAACAAAAAACAACTCGGTAAATGACAACCTACTTATACAATTTATAGTTAAAATAAATTTATTATTTTTCCCTTACTTTGAGTGTCCTTGGAATACGTTGACGGAGTGAATGGGTGGAGCTCTGAAATCCCACAGTCGAAAAGTCGTGTCCCTAGAGGAAGTGACGACAAGGTTTTGTGTTGGATGAGTGCAGACGTGAGTGAGTTCTTGATCATGGCCTGAGGAGTTAGAAAGAGAATGAAAAAATATCTAAGTGCTACTTCAGTAATCAACTATTAAATACCACCACAATATTATAGCTAATACATGAATTTATTAATATACATGTACATGTACATGTACACTAGCAAGACAGCCAATGGAGTCAACAGTAAATAACATTCAGTAATGAGATACTGGACAAAAATACATTAAATTATCTTTATTAGTTAGCAATGCTGAGTATGTGTCCATGATGTGTTTATTTATTTCACTGGATATCATTTGCCAAGCCACACACCATCACCTCAACCATGAAATAACAAAATATGGAAAAGCGGTAGAAATTCGTTTATTACCGAATGCCTAGCATTCAAAAACAACGCAGTCATTTATTACTCAAAGCAAAAGAAAAACCATTTCTATTAGTCAATGATGCACATGTACATATACATGTACACGTACATGTACATGTACATGTACATGTACATGTACATGTACATATACATACACATATACATTTACAGGTATATGTACATGTGCATGTACATATACATGTACATATACATATACTGTACATGTACAGGTATATGTACATGTACATGTACATGTACACATACACCTGTACCTCTTAGTGTATGGACAGTGGTCCCAGTGTGGGTATCCCATAGACAAGCCGAATGGTCCCATGAAGCTGTCACCAGTTGATCACCTTCGGACATCCAATCACACGCCATTACTGGACCTGGGCAGGGGAAGGAAAGAGAGAAAGAAAGAGAGAGAGAGAGAGGAGGGAAAAACAAAAATATATTAACTTGAACACATAAAAAACATATTATATGAATATATAAACATGTAAGTGCATATTGGGATAGAAATAATATATTTGCATAGTGAATATAATGTCCATTAATTGTTACCTGTATGTCCAGCTAGTGTTAGTAAAGGAGTCTTTAGAGTGGCCACACTGTTTGAGTCAATGTCTAGCATCTCATCATCGGAATAACCTCCTCTATCCTCACCTGATGAATCATGCTTCATGTGCTAAAGAATAATAATAATTATAATCAAGTGTGTAGAGTGAAATTAAATTAACACTGTTGCATATGTACATGTACATAACATGCATCAAATTAATGAAAGTGAACATTTTCTTTTGGAGCCATTTTTGATGCACAGTAATGTTGTACACTGCCATGTACACATCAGTACTGCATATACTGTACATGCATACTAAACAGTTATCATATTCTCTGAGTGTTAGTAAAGGTTATGGGCTACATGTAGGCACCATCTGGTGTTTACATTACTAAAAGATGAAAGACATTTTGAGGGATCGATCACTAAATCATAACTTAGCAACCTCATATCATGAAGAGAGGAGAGACATACAAACACAATGTGCATGTATATCTGATTCACATATCACTCCGATCTCAATACTGATTGAGGTGTTATCACTATTACTCACAATTATTTATACCTGACGCATGCAAAGTAGCCATATTAAGACTGATAACAAGCAAAACAATAAACAAATAAATAATCATTTCTTATGAAACTTCAACATTCATTACTATAAAGGTGTATGTAATGTACAATGTACTGTAGTGTACATGTACATGTGCATTTAAGCATAAATTATAATGTTGTACTTGTTTTCCTAAAGCAGTGACTGTTGTCTTCCATACGTGAGCAGTTCCATCGCCAGATGCTACAAATGGAATTGACATAAGAGTATACACACCCAACAATTTGTACATGTTTTCATAATTCCGTTGAGAATGTTTTCCCATTTGCTCCACAGTGTCACAACTCTCCTCACTTCTCTCTGTTTAATTCACACTATCTCTCTCTCTCTCTCTCTCTCTTTCTGTGTACATGCATCTAAATATCTCTCTGGCTCTCACATTTTTCTCCTTCCCCCCCCCCCTTTCTCTCCTTTCCCCTCTCTCCCCTGTCTCTCCTTACCAGTACAAGCAATTTGATCCATAGGGTGGAATGTGATACAATTTACTGTAAAAGGAAAGAGATATGAAGCAAACACTCATGAACAGCTGCTACGCTCCATCACATGTATTTGTGCAAATCACATGTACAGGTGTATGTGTGACATGATTTTCAATTATTTGAGTTATTCGTTGTACCTGATCCAGTGTGACCTGTATACTTCAATAGCATCGTCCCAGCATTGACATCCCACAAAGAAGCAGTGGTATCTACCAGTAGGAGAATAGGAACAAAAGGAAGAGTATGAATTAATGCATGGACTATTGCACTGTAGAGTATAATGGAGTATGGTAGAGAGCAGAAGGCATGCATATGTACAAATGATGTTCCTTTTTTCCTAACCAGCTGAAGCAGATCCAAGTATTGCCTGTCCTCCATTTCTTGTGAATGATACGTGCCAGACTCCATCTTTATGGCCATTGAAGCTACTAACGTAAGAACAGTCGAGTGACTGCTTCAAATTACTGGTTGTCTAAAGAGAGAGAGAGGGAGAGAAAGAAGGAGAGAAAGGAGAGAGAGAGAGAGGGAGAGAAAGAAGGAGAGAAAAGAGAGAGAGAGAGAGAGAGGGGAATATACAGTAGATATAGATAGAGGGAGAGATGAGGTAATGAAGGTACTAATGGCTACCAGTATTGGAGTAGAATAGCCTTACCTTCTTTGATCCTGGCATTAGCTTCTTCTTAGTGATAGTTGAGCCAGCTGTAAGTAAATAATAATATCATAAGTAAACAAAACCAACTCACTCAATACAATACATTAGCCAAACCATCGCACCAATAGATAAACATAAACACACTAACAATACTCCCTACATGTACAGTACATGTACATGTACATGTATGTATATCTAAGGAAACATTATATATATATAAGGTAATAGTTTATTTAATGTTAATGTGTTGAATGGTGACATGCAAACTCAGTATAATGTGATATAATGATGCAACAAAGACACAAAGAGGAGAGACAATAACTGGGAGAGAAAAGGAGAGAGAGAGAGAGAGAGAGAGAGAGAGAGAGTGAGAGTGAGTGAGAAAACAATATATAAAGATGTTTTCTTTAATTTAAACAATAAACCATTACTCTAATCCTCATAGGCCGCTCTTGTCCCTTTGAGATTACAAATAAACAACATGCGAAGTACAAAAAACACACACTAATACCGAGAAGAATATAAATACACGTAGGAGAGGAAGAGAGGGAGAGAGAGAGAGAGAGGAAAGAGATATGGCCATAACAAGTATGTTATTCTAAAAATAGGAAGAGGAAACAAATGAAGACACAAATAAAGATATACAACAGAAGTGATATAAGGAAACATCAATTAAAAATAAACCAACAATACATCACCCCACACTGATTATAATGCAAAGATTTTATTAAGCAAAAGTATCAAGGCTTTTATAATTATTATAAAAATGAAATTTTAGCAGAGATAACTTTTGTGGATTCACAATGTTAACACCAAGCCTTGATAATTGAATAATCTCCATACTTCCAAGCCTGTAATTGAATGCTCACTTACAAAAACCAAGAGAGTCTTGTTCAATGAAAATATACTATTTTATTGCTATTTAAATTCAAGATGCATGCTTGTAAATTTTCCGAAAAAATGCCAACAAAATCATAACAAGAAGGTTGTGCATTTACATGTACTTACACGACTTGATCTTTCTCAGTGGAGTCGTTGATGAGTGCTGCTGTGTATCTGGTGCTTGTAATATACTAGCACTAATTGACGAGGGCATGGAGGGGGCTTCAGCCATTGCAGCTGTTCTCTCAATCACTAGCGTATCCAAACGCTCAGTGAGAGTATCAACCTTTTCCCTGACTATAAGGAGAGATTGAGATCAGAATGAATCAGGGTTGAGTCGGATTGAGTCAGGGTTAAATCAGAACAAATCATCTTGATAGCATTACATAGTATAAATTATGAACATGTACAAATGATAAAAATTTCAAGGTACAGTGGATTTCACTACCCACTAAGAGTAGGTGTGGATGCACATGAGTGACGTAATATTAGCTAAAAGTTTCTTCGCCCATAAAAGGCATTCTCAATTATTTTTATAAAAATAAAATTCCAGAAACATGCAAATCCCCTGACAACATCAAATGTATGTACAATAAATAAATAATCATTCCTTAGCGAACCCTAATTTACAATAATAAAATTGCTATTGAATGATACATGAATCAAGGTTACATCATACCTCAGGGCTTGTTGCAAAATTTCAAAATAAAAAAGTAATTATTATTATTAGTGTATTTTAGACTAGAATTAACGGGACTTTGGAGTGTGTGAGTGTCTTACGTGCTGCATTCTCAGAATGAAGTGATTCAAACTCTTTCTCAATGAGTGAAAACAGCTCCAGGAGACGTGACTTTGATCCGTCGGGACCCAGGGGGCTGGTTTTATCTGAGGCTGAGCTTGTGGATGCCACAACGTTAGCCTGAGAGCTCTTCTTGCTAGAGCTGACCTTCTTTTTCAGTGACATAACGACTAATAAAAGAACTGTATTACAGTTGCTAAAAGCAGCATAGCAAACACACAAAACCACGCCCAACCACACCTTCAAACTAGGGACCACACCTACTTAATACAATGGAGGCTGGAGAGCAACTTGGATTAGACTCGGATTAGAGAGACAAACCACGAGCCATGAGCTAGGTCTAGGCCACTGAGAAGAGCAGGAGGCTCTGTAGTATAAATTGAGGTGTACATGAGGAGGTAATGATTACTGGAGACAGGTAGAATTAATTAAGGAGGGGGGAACATAATTATTGGCTATTTGAAAAAAAGTAAAGGCTATAGCCCATGGTTTTTGAAAAAAATGGCTCCAAAATCACCCCAAATTTTTATTACATTTTCTGATACGTATTGATTTCCTTTTGCTATGTAGGACGTTTGAGCCGATTCCGACGAATATTTTTCAAGTTATGAGCTTCAGAAATGAGAGATGGTCAGATCAGTGGTAAGAAATAATACTGACTGTAAGGGATGAAGCCAAGCTAGGAAAGTTTTGTATTTGTATAGGTTGTTAGCATTGGACTGGACAAGTTTTATAGTATATTAAAAGAAGGCTTTTGACAGATTTGTGCACATGTACATGCATTTGTTCGCCTCACTATCATAATTCCTCCTTTATCTCTCTCTCTCTCCCATTTTGCCTTTTACATTATACATATGCTTATAATGTACACCTGTTTCATTTTGATAACTAATATACATGTATTTCTTTCTTCCAGGATGAATATGAGTTTCAAATACTAGAGTTTCTTGGTTCCTTTGGCGTTTAAGCAAACTCCAGCTAATGAAAGTGAACTATAATGTCTAATAATTTATTTACCTAATTACTCGTGTTCAATACATGATTATTATTTTGATTATTTTTAGCACTTCTCTGACTGTTCTTAATGTGCATGTGTAGATTTTTAAACGACCTTTATTTATTGATTGAATATCATTGTTTACTGATTTGGTGCAGTACAGAGTTCTGCATTCCAATAATACTTGATTTGTGGTAGTACATACTCATCATTGATACAATATCTCTACTATCATCAACTATACTGCATACAGCTGTTCTGGACACTTAGGGACCCAATATAATACTGTCCTGAATATGAAATTGTCCTTATTTTAGAGATTCATTAATACACATTTATAGTATATTGGAACTGATACTACTTGTCCTTGTTTCAGAGTGTCGGTTTGACTGCGTGTACATGTACTTGTAACTGTTGTAAGTTGTAACACAAATGATGAATATGATTAAGTACAACCCACAATAGACTTTTCCTAATGTCTGCTTCATAAGGACACGGTGTATTCTTCTTTGTTCAGTTATGCAATGCTTCATTATTGTAAGCTGCTTAAGTAAAGTGATTAGTGAGTTCATGAAATCTGCTTAGTCTTGTAATATTTAAATGATTTAGTTAACTCTGATTATTTATTTATTCCTAGTTAATCAATGCATATACATCTTTCTATGCTTTTAGAAAGTTTGAGTGGATTGCCATTAAAATTGGAATTCTTATGAATTTTAAAAGTTGTAAAAAGTTGGTGTTGCATTCATTTACTGTAATGATTAGCCACGCCCCTCAAGTGAATATTCGCGCATGCGTAGAATTGGAACTGTCATGTGTTAGCTCTAAGCTGAAGTTTGACGTCATTTATGTATCCAGGTGTCTCTATAGCAACTCTTTGACGTCATAGAACTGACCAATGAGATTTATCCGCGAAGGTCTCTTCCCGGGAAAACCCAGAGACTATATAACTAGCTGCCCCTAGATTCCAGCTCATTTCTGCCATTTTCTCTGGCACCAAAGGATCAGTCTTCAAGGGCTCTCTCTCTCTCTCTCTCTCTCTCTCTCTCTCTCTCTCTGCTACAGTTAGTCATGGCTATCTGTCTCTTCTTCCTCTCTCTCTCTCCCCTCCCTCTCTCTCTCATTCTCTCTCTCTCTCTCTCTTTCAATCACTCATTCATTTATATTCTCTTTCTTTACAGGTTGACAGCAGTTGGTTCTTCTTCACTGAGTTCCTCTTTTTTTTAGAAGGTCATGGTGGCCCGGTTGTGACCTCCTTCTTCAAAGGCTGCTGCACCTTCTCATGGTTAGTAGTCTCTCTTTTTGACCCTCTTTTCTCTCACTCTTTACTTTTTTATTATTTTTTATTTATTGTCACTCTTTCTTTCCTATACAGGTTAGCAGTCTTGGCCCTCATACCCTGCTCCCCGGGCGAGATAAACTCGTGGATTTAGTGACCTTTCTCATTTCTCTTTGTCAGATGTTCGGTTGAATTTCCCGCCATTTTACAAGGCCACGCCCACCAAAGGAGGTGCTGACGGTGTAGACTGATCCATGGAACTAGAAAGAGAAAGACTGGATGTGATATTAAGTGAGGATTTTATTTTTGCTTGAGCTATGTATCTCAGTTGTAGTTGTTATAGACACTTGTCTGCATAGCCTCTTGTTTGCTTGTTTTAACTTGTTTTGATAGTGTACTGTAGCCTGTTGCTGTATACTGTACTGTAGCCTATTGTCTGTATACTATACTGTACTGTAGCCTATTGTCTGTATACTATACTGTACTGTAGCCTATTGTCTGTATACTATACTGTACTGTAGCCTATTGTCTGTACTATAGTACTCTGGCATGTATACTGTAGGTGTGTGTACTGTACTGTACTAAAGCCCATATTCACTTATTTTTTTATCTCATTTTAAGAGCTTTAATTGTCAAGCTGTGTCCGGTTTTTATAGGAGTTTTCTCTCTGTGGAGTTGGGCATGTGTCATGAATCGGGACCATCTCAGAGTCGTTGGTAGAGCAAGGGACTTAGTGCAAAGTTGATTACCTTTCGTGTATTTCCACTGGCCCCTGTACAGTACCTTTGGATCATATCTATCATTATGGATACCAGCTAAGTAATAAATCAGGGGCCCAACCTTTTCATGGGCTCCTGAATAGTTGTACTATGCATCATACATCCCTTTGCATGTGTACATGTAGTCCCATTTTTCAAATAAAATTAGAGAGTTTGAGAGTACACCCTTAATTATACATTGTATTATACAGGTGAGTGGTGACCCTTTACATTAGCTACTACACAGTAATATTGTACCATTCCTATACCTGTCATTGCTTGATGCTTCTTCCTTTAGCTTAGGTTCATCTCTACTTACTGATTCGACAAACGTTCGATCAGGAAGTAACCAAATAATGCATTGTTTTATAATGTGTATTTTGTGTATCAAGCAATGACATATGTCTTCATATGTAGCATTTCAAGAGTGGGAACTGTTTACCCGAAAACAGCATACCCTCTTGTTTGCTATAGGTGGGAATGGATTTTTGAAAATTTTCACTTTTCATTGGAGGATTAAAAATAGGCCTCATTTTTGAATTAGAAGATAATAGCAACAGAAGATTGATATCTTCCTTTCTCTCTCTAGTTTTATTTGCTACAGCTATATATTGCTGGCTGGTTTTGTCTTTGTTCTTTTTGGTAAGAATTATTATCTATTTTTATATTTATTACTACTTCTCTCTCTTTTATAGTCTTTATCTGTCCTGTTCTTGGTCTCTCCTCTCCTGTTGGTTCCTGTTTTGATATATGCTGTCTGTTGGTTTCTCTGATGAATTGGATGCTGCCCTCAGCTCTCAATTTGTTTTGCAGTATTTCCTCTGGCCCCTGTACAGTA